TCTGTGGAGATCAGAGCAGCTTGGCGCTCGTTGCCGAAGGTGGAACGCAGGTGTCCTCTCGCGCTGCGCTGCGCTTCGCTCCGGGGTTGCGCTGAGGCTTTCTCCGTGGAAGCGGAAGCACAACGCGCGGGCAAGTTTGCGCCAAACAGCAAGACCGTTTCTTCCTTCTTCATCATCACCGGTCTCGGTGTAACGCTGCTGTGCGGAGACGCCTCCGTGCCGGGCTTTCCGGCTGGCTGCAGTCGCTCTCTCTAACACCCTTTGCTCTCAAATGGCAAAGATCCTGGGGCACCTGTGATCCCACTGACCTTTGTCTTCTCCTCTTTACCTGCCGAAACTCCAGGGGTATTTCATGCCGTCACCTTCGCTGTGATACGAAATGAACCGTTTGAGAGACCTGAGCCGCATCCTTGTTTGTATACCCCACCTTGGGTTTAAACTGGTACTATTACCGCTGTGGGGAACGATTAATAATTTTGAAAGAACTAAAATAACAAGCATATTTACGCCTTATCGTTGAGTGAACCTAAGAAGTTAGCCGGTAGGGACAGGCAACCACACAGGGACAGGTGAGCCACTATATTACTGTTGACTCTCTGCCCACTGAGAAAACCACAGACTTTGTGTCCAAGCCGCTGTTCAGGAAAGCAGGAAAACACTGTCATTTCACGGGGGCCCTGCTTGCCATGCTTGCAACCAGGGCCGGAGTCTGAGGCAGGGGAGGATGCACTAACTTTCCAATGAGAGGGGCGGGCGGCTTTTAGGGAGCAAAAAGAAAGAAGACTAGAAAAGAAAGTTAGAAACGTCTCAGGGTTTGGACAGCTTGTCCTGTTTGAAAGCTTCCTTAAAAGTGACTTAAACTCATGAGGCCGATTTTAAGCCACAGTAGCTGCAGCCGCTCTTCAAAAACTTCCCAGCAGCCGTGCTGGTGCTGCACCAGGAGAAACCGGCGGGCGAAGGGGGACGAGGTGGGCGCGGGGTGAGCTCCGCAGGCTGCCCCGAGGGCTGCGCGTGCCGAGGAGGGGGGCTAGGAGGGCTGGGGCTGTTTGCAGCTGAATTTGGGGCTTACAGGAAAGAGAGGGAAGAGCTGCTGAGGACAGTGAGGGAGGGATGGTCACAGGCAAGGAAGGAAGTGAAACCACGATCAGAGAAATGAATCTGAGGGATGTTCAGTATCTGGCCGCATCAGTGCTGACAATTCAAAGTACTGCAGCACAAACATTTATGGTACATCCAATTAAGTTCAGTCGCTTTTACAAGTCGAATGAGGGCATTTGGCCCCTCAGTAGAGATATAAACTGGAAAACTGCTCAGGTAACTCCAGTTTCCCATCGTTCAACTGAGCACAAGTTACCTACTTTGTAAAGCGTTCAGCCCCTGTTCTGCGGTGCCTATAAACATGTTTTTGAAAGTTATTCCCATTTGTGGGATTATTCATAGCTTTAGAGTTAAGCATGTACTTAAATACTTCGCTGGATCAGTGGATCTGAGTGCATGTTAAATTTAAGATGTTGAAGCTCAGCGTTCTAATCAAATTTCAGTCATAGGATCAATTCCCTTTAATTTAGTTCAAGTGGAAATTCAGAGGCAGAACAAAATTGCCAATTTGGCTTAATTAGTCACAGACTGTTAGCATTAAAATAGCACTAATGGCTGAGGTACTTCAGAGCACTCCAAATATTTGCTGGGAATATATTATCCCCATACAGGCTTTCAAGTGCTGTGCTGGCTCCCAGCTGCCTTGCGGTGGGCAGCAGCAGTCCCCATACTGGGTGATGCTGCGCAGCACACCTGTACCCCATGTAAGGGTTTTGCAGGCCATTAGGCATGTAAAAGTACATTTATAACCCTCCGAGCCAAAGGTTCCAGTTACAGGTATTCGGCCTTTTATAAGGTGACAAAAAAATTATTGGAGACAGCGTGGAGTGAGCATGACTTCTTTAGCTGGGAGCTAAAATACCCATTTGAGATGGAAGGAGGAGACCTGTCTTTCAAGCCCCTTGCTTCAAGACTACTTGTGTTTTTAACAGTAAATGGTCCGGTGCATAAAATACATCTTCATGCGCTGGAATAGGGCACCTCTGGAGCCCCAGCACCCCTATAGCAGGTTACCAGCCTGATTAAGTCAGGTCCAGCAGACGCGCTTCCACATCATGTTAAGAGTGCCTCCCACGCCCCTTCTCACTAACTCCTGTTTCATGAGCAGCTTCAGCAGTACCAGCCTCAATGACCCCCTGCGAGGAAGCTCACACAGCAGCTTCTGACCTGCCCTAATTTATGATGGGACAATTTAAAGCAAACAGGTGCTGACTTTAGTTTTTATTGAAACGTTCGTCTGCAGAGTGCAGAGGCCTAGGCACCGTTTTATGAGAAGTCGCTCTA